ATTGCTACTTTAAAAAAGTCATAATGCGCTTGATATTAATACAATTAATTAATAAAATAAAAATAAATACTTTTTAATCTTAATACCCCATTAGTAATTATTATAAATAAAACTAGTGTTATTTTGGTGTTTTTAATGTAAAATATTGCAAAAAGAACGTATTTTAAAACATAACTACTTTGCTAATTTGGAAAATATGACTTATATGTACTATTTAACTAAATATCACCAGCCCTAAAGGAATTCAGACCTTTCACTTGAAAAATAAAAATTCGTCAACAATAATTTTCAGACAGAATCATGAATTTCTTCGCGCAGAATGTCATCAGCAAAGCGAACACGCCAAGAATTTTAATCAAGCGGAAAATTAAGTAGACTGCGCCGTCCTCAAAAATGAATTTTTCTAAAAGGCGTTCACCGACGTTATTGAGAAAAACAAAGAAAAGACATCCTTCCAGCAAAGTTGGACGGCTTTGAAATTGCGCAGCGAATTTCCTCACTTCCTCCACTCGTCTTTTCATTAATTAATTCAGCTAACTTTTTCAAAAGAAGCTGCCGGAACCTTTGACGAAAAAATCAATAACAGCAAAACTCGCAGATTTGGAGGAAAAACAATACAGACAGGGAGGTTTTTCCAGCAGCATCTGGTTGAAATACGTCGGGATAAGAGCCCCTGTGAATAATGCAATTATCTCGGCCTGCCAGAGAGTGGCAGCCCTTAATTGAATTAAGAGGAGAGAGTGACGAGACCCAGAAAAAAATTACGCTACGGCGGATGTTTGTGAAAGACCAAACCTTATTTATAGTTATTTATATCGGAAGAGTCATAAAATTATAATCAAAGCAATGCAGGCATGAATGGCCGTTCTATCAGAGTGGTTCAATGAGATGTGCATAATTATTGCATGATCAAATCATCCGCTAGAGTGGTACCCGTATGCGCAACATTTTCATAAATCAGCGGCTCTCGTATTTAGAATAATGAGCACCAAATGGGCAATTGCCTCTGTTCAATGAAATGTAATTTGAACTGGTCTGATATGCGAGTGTTTATTTTAGTGTAGCCCAATTTGTTTGCAGATTTACGACTGCAGCCTTGGATTTAAAAACGCGGGATTTATTGTGACAGCAAAACAAACCGTAAAAAAGTTTTAAGGTCATGACCACTAAAATCTAAATCCGACTGAACTTTTTGAAAGTTTACTTCTTGTTGTTATAAAGATAAAGTTATAACCCTTAATTCATTTTACCTCGTATTTTGACTCCTCGTCGCATTAGCATAAAGGCGTAGGCCATTGTTGCTCTCCAGGTTGTGCTTTAGAGAAAAATGGAGATAAGTAGGAAATGGAAAATTTCACCACGTTCATTCTGTGCGCATTTGAATTGCAAAACAGCATTAGCATTTTGCTGGGATCGATTTTAAACAGGTTGCAAAATTAGCTTTTGCAACTTTCCATGGCCTTAATTAGCCATCAAAAACGTAATGAGGAGATAATTTAGGGGAAAATAATGAGCATTTGATACAACTGATCGATTTGGCAGAACTATTTATGAAGTCAGTAAAGAACAAACAAGATGTTGTATTGAGGTAAGTGAAAATTTGGTGGAAGTACCACTGCTGTTTATTGATGGTTTTATGTACGCAGGAATTGATAATATTTTAAGATAAAATTTACATAATCAATTAATTATTATTAATTTGCATTAAAACTTGTATAATTTTGAATGTATCCCGTTATGGGCAGCAATTGCCTTTGTGATAGATCAATAAACACAATTTGCAACTAAAACTTTTAAAATCTTTTAATATGTTCACACTTTTGAAATAAAAAATAACCTGACCATTTACATTAAATTAATTTTTAATTTAATCATCTTCATTTTATTTTTGATAAAATTATGGAGATCATTTTTATTATTCCGCGTGAATTAACCCAGTTTTTAATTTTGCTGTTATATTCGTCTTTATATTTCTATTTAAATTTTGCAAGTTTGTAAGGATTTCAATTTTTGGCACGAACCCAGTTAAATGTCGGATCGTCTGGCATTATTCAGTGACTGATTGAAAATAACGGCTTTGCGTCTGCAATGAGTTGGGAAAAGGAGAACCCTTTGTTCGGCTCAATTACTCTCACAATCAATGCCCGCAGCAATTGAATTAAAGCATTCCACGATCAAACCTTTTCCTCTGTCTACACGGTTTTCCCACGCAGAAAAATAAATAAATAAATTGGCACGAGTTGCACATGCGTTTTGAGGAAAATTCCTTGCACACGCCGCCGATTAAAATTCTTGCCGAGCCTATGTAAAAAGTTGCAGAAGAAACGCGCGCGTTCCTCATCGCACATTGAAATGCAAGCGACGCCGCGCTTCTGTTTACAAACTCAAAACAGCCGGGGCGCGTGAGCAAATTGCAAATCCGCAGCATCGCACCTGAAGCCACCGCCGAGTTAGAAAAAGAAAGACAGGGTCCCCCCGAAAAAAGATCATTAATTAAATTCGCGGATGCACCTGCCTTCCTCTGTGCTGTCAAGTCAGACGGCGTGACTTCGCATCCTTTGTCTTTGCTGGGTGACGTTTTTTGCTGATGGCAAAATCAATCCTCGCAAAATCGGTCCTCGGTTTGACCCCTGTGAACGACAAACAAGAAGTGCTTTTTCCTCACTCACGTCAATCCCTTTGCTTCTGGCCTTCTGGCAAGGGTTAAACGAGTTTCGTGTTTGGGCGGATTTGCGGGGCTTAAGTACACAAAGGGCACGGTTCGCAATTTATCGTGTTGTCTTCTGTTGTGAGCCGGGTCTGAGTTACAGTCCGACAATGATTCCAGTTATTGAAGCAGGAGAACTACAAAGTGGAACTTTTGGAATCCGAGCGCTCTTTGTGTTTTATCATCCTTTTATATATGTTTACTTGTTTTGCTTTCACACCCGTCCACGCTCTCTGAATCAGTTTTTATTACGGAATGAATGGACGAACTTTCTTTGTTTTGGGGTATTCCGGATATATATCCTCTTTTATTTGCCAAGCGTTTGTTGACAATATACCACTAAAAGTGATTTGTGTTGTATTGTAAATGTGGTGATTGCAAAATTTGATAATAAGAGACTGCACAAATATAATTATGAACTCAAAATTCAAATCTTATAATTTTACGCATTTAACGCTTAGAAATCTAAATGAAATAAATTGAGATCTTGATACATCTTTGCACAAACAATTTTAAAACTTAAAAGAAATTCGAGTCAAGAATTGACATACAGTTAAAAGTGCTTTGATACAAAAGCGGCTGCTGCTGGGATTTGGTAGCTAAAATAACTGTGATAATTTGTTATTAATAACTATTAATGGATAAAAAACTAATTTCTATTTCCTCTGCTCCAAATCAGTTTTCATATATTCAGATAGCAATTTGAAAAAAATTATTTTTATCATTTTGAACTTTGAAGTTCAATTTACCGTTCATTCACAATGATTTTGTGTATGCAGACCGTGGTGGTGCCAGTTTTGAATTCTGCCAAATGGATAATGTTCATGTCACCGCATTCGAACATGCGAATTTATTTTCTACGAAATTTTGTGCACGGCCGCACCTGGCGCATTTTTGGTTGTTGGCCAACCCAGAGCAGCCATTTGTGCAGACTTTTTGGACAAAAGGACGCTGCGAACGGCGCATGAAAAATGATGAACACATCAAGTTGATAACGCGGAAGCCGTATGGGGTATTATTAATAACGTGCGACTCGCGAAATATAATGAATTGGCCTTTGATTGATGAGGCTAATGGGCCGAGAAATCGACGCCATTAACTATATTGAGCTCGCCTGTGGTACACGGAGAGGACTGCAAAATTATTGCGACTAATGAAGGCTCAAAAAGAATACCCATATTTTCCGCAATATCAATTTCGCATTGACTTTACTGGAATGGCTTCAGTGTCGAAACTTTTGCAATTACTTTTGATACGTTCAACCTGCTTGATTTCGGCTGGATAAAAACGGAACAAAAGAAAGTTCTGCCTTTTCTTCAATGATAGGCTATATTATGTAAAAGTGTCCAACTTTTAAGATAACTGTTGAGTAAAGGAAAGCTGATTCAACAGAAATAAGATAGATCTAATCGGGAGATTATTAGCCAATTTTATATTTGGCTAATTTGTATTACATGCATTAGACCTATCAGATTTAAAGCTTAAAATGAGCCATAGAAGGAAACAGTCATATAATTAATTGTAATTAATTTTTGATAAAATATTTTCCTTGTCTCTGTTTGAAATGTCAGAATTTAAAATTTCATAAAATAGGCTTCAAATAGTAAAAAAAATATGAAGCAATATGCTTTTTAAATATAAATCTGAAATAATTTTAATTGTAAAACCAACAAGAGTGTGCAAAAAATATTTTTTTTATAGAAAATTTCCAAATTTATCAATTTTAAAATTTTTAAACTATACTCAGCCTGAAGCCGACTTTTGAGTCTGATAGTAGACAAGCAGACTATGAACAATTTTTATAATCTTCCGACATCCCCTTGTAAATATTAGCTCCTGATAAGGAAAGCGTTATTAAGTTTTGTAAATGGTTAGTTCTAAATACAAGGAGCATCGTTGTCCGAACATACAAAGTTCCTGTTAATATTCGCCCACCTTCTTTTGCCTTGAGGAACTGGAAAATTTTTAATGAAACTTGTTTATTGATTTTCTGTTAAACGTGCTGTTCTTGAAAGAACAAGAGCCGGCAAGTTATGCAACCCGCCCACTAAGCAAATCGCGCTGGTTGTATCTGGCAGACAGCAGGCGCTCTCGCCACTGCGATGCTTTACTCTTTTCTAAAGCAGGATTATCTGGAACAATGGGGCTGGCTAATCTCGCTGTGGGCATTGACGATATAATTCCAATTAATATGCGAGCCGCTAAATTAAAAGGGAGATGCGGCACGAATTCCGCACAGCGTTTACATAAATTTTGGTTTAATTGACCACTCTGCGTTCAATTCTGTTTGCAGCACGTGACGTACCACCTGATACGGCGCAGTATTTTCTCTTTATGGGCCCTAGTGGTGTTGCTCGTCAGTCTGCCGCTGTTCGGTTTCGGCCAATATTACAACCCCGGACCACCCCTTCGCTGTGAGAGGTACAGACAGGCAACCGACCCGGCTGGAATTGCCTATGCCTATCTTTTCTTCAGTTTCGGTAAGATTTTTTTCCTTTTTCTGTCGAGAACAATATTCTTTCCAGGGGGAAGTGAAGCGGGAAATAGAGACTTCGAGTAAATGAAATGTTTGACTCGTTTCCTTGTCACTCGACTGACACATGATTTCTATTTTATGCGATCGAGTTGAGTCAAGTGAATATTTGCAGCACAGATTTTCTTTGCTGGCCTAGAGGAACGTGAAATGTGCTTTTGACGAGCTTTGCAGTCATTAATATTAATTGGCTGCTTTTATTAAAAGAGCTAATGATAGACGGTCTAATTAATCATATTGTCAATAGCGCTGTTGACGAAGTAATTGGGATAACAGGCAATGTTGATGTTTTGTTCTTTCTCCCAAGACAAATTTGAATGATAACCAGTTACAAAGGCACAAAAAGTCTATCTCACGTTGCGAATGTGAAGTTTTAAATTAATTAATAGTTGCAATTACATAAATGTCTATTCCTTGAAGCATCATCAACAACAATTAATAGCAGCGTAATATATTTTTCATTAAATAGTTTACAGACCTAAAAATAGTTCGTCTATCAACCTTTGACGTTGGTAAAATTTTTCCCAGATTGAATTTTTTGTTTTTGAGAGCACTGAAAATTTAATTTTGTAAAAACAAGAAGGCGTTGTCAATGAATCTGTGACTCTTTAAGTATGTGCAATTTTAAAACGACATTTAAACAGGAAGATCACTTTATAAGTGAGTTAAACAGCACAAATAATATTCTTATAATGCAGAGGAAAAGGCGCTCTAAATATAATTTTAAAAACAATTTTTTGTCAGTGCAAATTTGTTTGATTTAATGGAGATTATTTTGCGAATTCAGGGTCACTGTTGTGCGTGGCCATCGTGGGCTTCAACCTGGCGGTGGTGCGCGCCCTGTGCAGCATTGGCCGCCGCTCCATGCTGGACCGCAGGGTCAGCAGCCGCTCGTCCACGAACACCCAGTCCAACTACCGCAGCCTGGCCGCCTCCAAGTCGCTGGCGGCCACCCACGAGGAGTTGGCCTTTGTGCGCCTAATGACCGCCCTCTGCGTCATTTTCCTCGTCTGCTGGATGCCCCAAATGGTTCGCACTTTCCAAAAGTGTTTTTCGATGTAGCTTTTCACGTTCAATCGTTGCTTGCATTTTGGATCAGAAACGTTTTTTTTTTTTTTTTATAAATAACGCATGATAATTAAATCGCGACGAGCTCGATAATTTTCAGCAGCACTGCGCAGATTTCCATAATTGGCTTGCTTCCAGAACAATGGCCTTATGGAATTGTTTAATTGGATTAATGAAAGCCACTTAATGCAAATTTATTATGTTCCTCCCAAGCCAAATGTTGATCTGCATGAAATCTGCATTAATTCCATTTCGGTACTAATGACATCTTCAAACCTCATTTAACAGCCCCTATATTATCAATTTTTAACTGTAAAAGTTTAACACCGTTGCTTATTTTTAGTAGCAGGATATATTTTGATAATTTTAATACTTTCAAGAATATTTTTTTCTGGGATTTGCTTAAAATAATAAAATACTAAATGCGAAAAATGCAAGTCTAGCAAGTAGTTTAGGAATATCTTAAAGCAACATGATTAAATTTTCTACCTATATACTACCTCTATTCATTTAAAAAAAATACTGCTCTTAAAATTAGAAATTTAATTCTTTCATTTGATGGCCGATGCTTTTTTTTTATTTTTTACAATTTTTAACAATATTAAATGAAAATTTTTGTTTCTTTCAGATTGCAATCCCAGTTTCACGCATGTACCCTAGTGCGACACCCCTTCTCCGGTTGGCGGACGTGTTGATGTCCTTCCACTTCTCCCTCGACCCCTACATTTACGTCCTCCTGCGATGTCGGCGCCGACCGTGTGTGCAAGCTTTCCTCAAGATCGTTTGCCGTTCGTCCAGCTTCCGCCACTCCGACCACCCAATTTCGGACCACCCCTCAAAACACACCACCTCAGACGCCTCCCACACCCCTAAGACGGCTCCCAGACGTCCAGACATGGTGCTCGAGCACCGAGTTTGAAGTTCTTGGTGCACTATTACATACATTTATGTGATTTGCAGACTCGCAGTAAGAGACTACGCCAAAAGTGGTGTGTTTTTTGCGCAAGTTTCTCAAAAAATTTGCATCTTAAAAGCTTGACTTTGACATCTTTTTTGTAGATTTTAGTCATTTTTGCAGTTGAAAATTTTATGAGATTTTTTTAGTGATTTTGCTGAATTTTGACCAATAAGCAGTATTTGGATTAGAAAATATTGAAATTGAGACTGGTTGAATTAATGGCAAAAATTTAATGTTACGGGCCTGCATTAAAATAAACACGCTTTTTCGATTTGTTATAAAATTTAACTTATGAGTTCAAATGCATTCCAACTTTCTTTAAGTACAATCAATATTATATTTTAAGATCCGACTGTTTCAATGCTAGTTACACTCACAAAAGATGTTCATGTTTTTGCCCTCATGAAAGAGGCTTTAATTAAACAACACTAATTACGTGTAGAGAAAGAGGACATTATTGTACGAAACATGGTATTGCTCATATTGACTTGTTAAATGTGCTTTAAAAACAAAACTTTTACAAATCTCACGCACATACATTCAATTGTGAAAATTTGAAATATAATGGTAATTGAACAATTAATATATACAGAAATATATAATTTTGTAACTTGATCGAAAGGCTACTGCTGGCACAGAATGGTATTTATTTTTTAAAACTGTACTGTAAAGTGGAAAAAAATCAATGTAATAAATTCACTCTGGAAATAGGAAATAATACTCTAGTTGTAAAAACAATAAATTTACATTGCTGGTGCTAACTTAGCAAGTGAAATGTGAATATCCCCCAACGTATTTTTATGTTATTGATAAAGAAATGTGCAAACTTCCAAGGAGAAGCATGTAGCAAAATTTAGTGAGACCAATTGATTTGGCTATAAAAAGCCAGAACAGAAAATTGTATTAATTTTTGATTAAACTGTCTGCTCTTTTACCACGATGAAATAGATGTAATTTGACTATATGTGATGTATGGAGAACAAAATTCTGCAAGGAGAAATATGAATGTTAAATTAATAATCTTTGTTTGTAGGCAAATATCAAAATAAAATAAGTCAAAAGTCATTATGATAAAATTATGTTTCATTTCCATTTATAATGGTTGCGTGAGTGTTCAATGTGTCCCGAGAGAGCGCGCGACGGCCGCTTGTTCAAAGGTCCGTAAGATTGACCTTGGACCGGCATCGCCAGTGTTATTATCTGGTGAGCAGAGCACCAAGAGAGAACCGCGTTTGGAGACCAGCTGGTATGATAATTAGAGGCTTGTGATTCGGTCCGGACAAACAGTTAATTTAAAAAGTCGCTACTCTTACACACCCTTCGGCCAGTTACTGACCAGCAACCAAGCAGCAAAGATGTCAAAAGTTGTCCGCAAGGCGATTTTTACCGCTCTGGGCCCCAAGCCTTTGGCCCCATACAGGTTAAGACCAAATTATCTTAGCTTTGTTTTTATTTGAAATTAATTTAATATGAAATATAATCACAATTGAAAATTTTAAAAATGTTGAATATCCAGTTTGATTTTCATATTTTATTGGAATTAATTATTTCAGTCAAGCCATTCAAGTCGATAATATGGTCTACCTGTCTGGAATGGTTGGGACGAGTGACCAAGGGTCTCTGGTTGAAGGTGGCGTTTCTGCAGAGGCCAAGCAAGCTCTGATGCATCTTGGAAATGTCTTACAGGCTGCTGGCTCCTCTTTTGAAAGTGGTATGATAGATAATGCTACAATAATTTTCATATTAAAAAAATTCAAGTATGCAATATGCATAATTAATTACCATAAAATAATAAATAATAATTATTGCAAACAGGTATTTAAAGAAATTCAATCACTCGTCAGTTAATGTTTCATAATATTTTACATTATTGGTTTTTAATATACTTTGATTTGATAAACTTTGATTTTTTTTTTTTATATATATGAAAAAAAATATAAAAGAATTTTAAATCGAGATTGTAGTGAAAAACGCCATGAATGATTTTTTCTGATTTTCAGTTTTATTAAAAAATGAGATGGTGGTAAAAATCCTATTCTTTGAATTATTTTTTTAGTCGTCAAGACCACTGTGCTACTGGCTGACTTGAATGATTTTGGAGTTGTAAATGAAATTTACAAGCAATGTAAGTTTTAAATTTTATACTAATTAGATTTAGAAACTGCATTCTGGTTTTATCTAGTCTTTCATTTGAAATGAAAAATACAAATAATTCAACTTTTTCTTCTCATTTGCCAGATTTCAAGGAGCCGTATCCTGCCCGCATGGCTTACCAAGTCGCAAAGCTTCCTCTGGTAATATAAAATTATGAGAATATTATCCAAATCTTCGCAAATTTTAAACGTTCTATATTACAGGGCGCCAAAATTGAGATTGATGCTATAGCCATCGTTGGCGAGGTGGAGCACGTCAAGGCCAACTTGTGAATCCAAACAAAAATATTTGACATTTTGCCCCCATGTCACGTGAATGCTAATTAGCATGTAAAACATGCTAATAAGTGAGTTCTGCAGATCGCAAACATGTTCAACAGGTATTGTGAAATAAAAAAATGTATGCATTGAAAATTAATGTGTGTTATTTCAATTGAACCAGAGTGGATAACTAATTTATTAATCAATTGAAAATCCCCTGTTAGCATTAAATTTTTTGCACAAGTTAAAAGATCAATTTTAATTAAATCAGAATGAAAGCATAGTGATTTCTTCTAGTAAAATTTAAGATATAAAAAATTATTGCAATTCAAGGGCGAAAAAATAAAATTTTATATCTTTTTTGAAAACTAGTCTCATTGAAACCTTTACACAATTTTCCTTACTTATTTTTTCTCATCGTCGCTTGGAAAAATATGAAAGATCGTTGTAAATATTGTGAACTAATGCGGAATAAATATGTATTGAATTGAATTTTGCACCTTAATCAAATATTATGTGAAGATTTTGAATGTGCCTTTTGATGTTGTGAAAAGATACTTTTTAAAGAGAAAAATTAAAAAAATTGTTATGTATTATGTTATTTTATTAATCATAAATTATTGAACGACAAGCGAAAAGTAGCCTGCAGATTTAATAGGCTAAAAGGTTTTTATTTTCCTCAAGAAATTTTGAAAAAAAGAAATACGAAATATGTAGTTACAACCTTATCATGTATAATTTATTATTCAAACAAATCTCGGTTTCCTATAAGCGGCGGCTGGAAATTGAGAATATTTTAATTATAAAACCCTTGCTGTAATTTAGAAAGTTTACGGTTTGGGAAATATTTATGAAGTTTAAAATTTGAAAGTATTTTTCGTTTACAGCATTGTAAGCATGCTGTTTTTGACGCGTGCGATGCATAGAAATAGAGCAGAGATGAAAATGCAGTTTTAGCGACTTTTTTTTCCTATGCCGTGTTATTTTCTGTTATGCGCTACACATCACATTGATTACATACCTTATAGATGACGTGTCGTCGTGTGAGAATGTGTGAGGATGTGTGTCCACTGTTTTTGTGTTGCTGCGTGTTGCGCGAGGGGGTGCTTTTGTCGGCTTACGCGAAGATTTTTCTTCGCCGTTCGTGTTTCGTCTCACTTTGAGAAATTGAGAGAAGCCGCACGGCGCACACGGCGCTATCCGCACTCCGCAGTCGAACCACGATCTCCTAGCATAATCGGCAGCGTTCACATCACACTAGTTCAAAGCGTTGTTAGTAGTTGTAGCAGCGTTCTTGGCTAGGGAGGAATTCACCCGAATTTTGGAATTGTTCCGTTCATCTTTGAACCGTTGGCTTTGAGAGGCACATTTCAGCCTACGACATTGGCATTGGCATTTCGCAAAACTCGCATTCGCATCGTGATCTTCAGACAACGACGCAGGTTTATAAGCGCATTTTTTAGGTTTGATTTGAGTTTGAATTTTCGTACTTTACGTAATTATTATGTTTTCATTACACACATGAATATGTAAATAAGGCGCCTAAGAAAAGGCATTAGCAGCTGATTCATTTTTGGGGGCATCAACAAAGAGTTAAGCTAATTTTTGGTACTATGTTATTGCGTCTTCGTACGCTTTACTTTCTATGGAGATTCGTCTTATTCATTTCAGTTATTATGAAAATCATAAAATATGTATTTTTTTTTCCAATATAACTGCTATGCACATTGAATAAAATGATGTGTTATGTAAATCCTTGCATCAAATTTTTCAGGATTTTTATGGATAAGTGGTTTAAAGATTGTTTATAATTAATCCTTTTTCTAGAATCGGCTTTGACCATCCTGGTAATAGGAATGGATCCTAAAAGATCGCCAACATTGGGCCTGTGGTTCAACAACTATAAGTTGGACGCACTAATTGAAGATGAGGTTGCCTTTCTCGACAAAAACAGAGAAACCTGCAAGGGAATCATCGCCAAGCAGGCATGTGTTTAGAACAAAAAATTGTCTTTTTTTCTAATCAACCAGACAAAAAGCAGGATATTGTTTTCTGGACAAAAGCTTTAATCACATTCAGAGATGCGATGATGGAAGTGTATGGCAACTTTTACCTGTTTGAGTCTACTGACCTGGTGTTTGTCGAACTCCTGCGAAAGCTTTGTGGCAAGAAAGGGTAACAGAGTTTATATGAACCAAAGTTAAAATACGTACACGTTTTGTTTGTAATTATTTTGCAGACCAGCCAAAATGCTCACTTACTTGTCAGACGTTGCTAGCATGGAGAGCAAATTCCAAACTCCTTCACTCCTTGACAATAGTAAGCATAAGATAATTAATACACGTTCTATAATCTAAATGTTCAAATGCATTTTAATCAAAGTTTTAATTAAAAAATGTAAGGAAATTTAGATATGAGATTTTATAGTGTAAAGGATTGATAATTTATAAATTAAAATGTTTAGTTGAGCGATTGGGTCACAAAGATACGTCAAACAAGCTTTATGGACATTTACTTCCTCAAAAATTGGAAAAGTTATTTCGTGAATACAGTAAGGGAGTTCTCAGTCCTGCCGAGCAGCTTGAAGTGAAAGACCAAGTAATATAATTTTTTAAATGCTCCATGAAATATTTTTATCCGTATTTTTCCACATCAGGTTGTTCAAGTCTGCAGCATTTCCAGTCGTACTGCAGCTTTTATTGTCCAGCTTCTGCAAAGTCTTCTGAAGGGCGAGTCTCCCCTGCAAGGCTGGAAAATGCCAGATGTGTGGCGCCAGAAGACCTGGCAACCCAAAGAACTGGAGGAGTACTTGAAGGACAAATGGAGGGATGACCTGGCCAAGATCGTCTTGCAGGTACCGCAAAAGGACATTGCCTGGTGGAATAAGAAGAAGCAGAAGGTTCTTCCTGAAAGCGAGACCATCTCGACGGAGAACATGTTCAGTCTGAAAATGATGGAGACTATGCCTTGGAAACCAGAAACCTGTTCAAAATTGCCTCCCTGCTTGGCCGACGAAGAGTGGGAAAGTGTGTTTGACGTCTTAAGACGGGTTTGTGTGTTTTGTTTTTTTAAATACGCTATACATTTTACTTATTGCATTTGCAAATAAAATATAAATTATTTCAGCATGTTCCTAATAACAAACTACCGTTTGAGGCTTTTCCTTCAGACAGACTTGTCAAGTTGAAATTTGAGTGTTTCCAACTGGCCGTTCCTCCTGTCTTGGCCTTGAAATATCACAAGAGGAAACTGGATGGACAGCACAGCCTGTGCATCTCGGCCTGGTTTGCTTCTTGGTGTTTGCTGCTCTCTGGAAGTGAACTGATGCGTCATGTGAGAGCCACCTCTCCAACTGGCAAATGCGCCAACTTTGAAAATCAAACTCACCTTTTGGCCATCAAACAGACTCTGATGCACTGGAATGTGCCTAAAGCTTTGAAGCCCGAAGACTGGATTTCCAATGTGAGCGATTTTCTCGAGTGCAATTCAGTTCAAAGGCAGTTTTACTCAAACTACACCATCCGGCAGCAGTGGTTCGCAGTTGCCCTATCTGCTATTCTCAAGGTACATAGAGGCATTTTTGTATCTATGAAAACTCTAAATTATTCATTTAACTCTTTAGTTTGAGTTGCACACTGCTCCTCTCAGATTCTGGCCAGTGCCAGCAAAACATGCAGAGGCTGTTACGGAAGTGCTCTCTTTTGTCAAAATGATCAAAGAGCTCATCTTGCTAGGCATTTATGTGCATGAAAGCAACTTGTACGAGGAAATCAATGCATACTTTGTAACCATATCACCGACTGTGACCAACTGCATCAAACTCATCAGCAGTAATGACTGGACCGAGTGCTTGCGCAACCTTGCGGCAAAGTGCTCACTTTCAAGCAAGGGCAAATTCGTCAGTGTCCCTAGCTATGATCTCGACAAAGATGTTAGCAAGTTTTACTCCCAACATCCTTGGTATTGCAGCCAAAACGGAAGCAAATTTTACATTTATTAATCAAGTTTTTCTTCTCTTAAGGAACTTTCTCTACTATATTGATTTACATTTGAAGAAACCTGATTGCAATGAAATGCTTGTAAGCAAGACTGCGGTGAGCATTTTAAACCAATGGAGGAACCCTGAAAAGTCAGTAGGGACCTGGTCCTACACCCCCAATTTTCATGGTGATAAAGTATAATTTTTGCTAATCCTTTAAAATTTCTAAACATTTATTTTTGTTTAGGATTGTTGAACAACACTGCCTACAGTTTGGTCAGAGACAGTGGTTGGAGCAAGAAGGGAAAATTTGTGAAGGAAATTGTTGGAGTAATTACCCACATGCAATTCGTCCCTTGGGAAGATAAACCAAGAATCATGCATACTGAGCTTGACACTGATAAGTTTGATAAACCGATTAGTGCAATGCAAGGTAGTGTCTAACAATCTAAATTGAATACAAGACTAATAAAATTGTTATTTAGATGGTGACTATGGCAAGATGGAATTAATTGGAAAGATCGGTTGCCACTGCTTGGTTTTGCTTAGTGCTGGGCACAGGTGCAAAATGCTTCTAGGAAGCAAAAAAGAGGTGAAAATATTTAATTTATATCTTATTTTTATATGAAAAAATATATATTTTAGACATTAATGATAACTAATTAATTTTAGAACTTGATTGCTACTCTTGTTCGCCAATCTTACCAACTCTTTGAGTTGGAGCACCTGTATAGAATTGCGCTTCTTGTTGGAAACCTCTGTGATTTTATACCGGAGGCTCCGATTAACGAAGGCAAGGAATCCAATTACTCAGCTTTGATCAGCTCCATCAAACAGCTAAAGGTGCAACAAACGGGTGTGCCTGATCCATTTGCCACAAGAAAAGAGTGGATCATGGAAGACGGTAACTATTATATCTCTTACTAATGATTATAAAGAAATTGATCTTGATTTATATTTTGCCAGTCCCGTGCATGTTTGAGTTTGGCCCCAAAGACTGCAAATATTGGCTCAAGAAGACCTTGTCAGCCCAGTTGAAGGTGATTTTCAAGGAGGCGTCTGAAGGAAAAAGTGTTCCGGCCCACACACCCATCATGCAATATCTCCTCCCTAGCTACTTTGGTCTGCTGGATAGCGATGGTCTTAGCCGTCAAGGAAAATCTTTACTTTTTAGTGTGCTTGTTAAGCTGCTACAAAAATATCAAAAATACCCGTTGCCTGAGGTTCCTTCCAGCGAGCTTTCAATCTCACTTTTAAAGAGCAACACATTGGCTATTCAAAATAAGGTACGTTATTTGTTAAATGTACTGAGAGATATAAATCCATAATTTATTATACCATTTAAGCTTCTGCAAATCACCTTTGGCACCATTGACTTTTTGAAGGGAAAATTCAGCCAAAACCTCATGGAGGTTTTCAGCAGTATGAATTGGTGTTTTGACACACCTCAGCAAACTATGGCATTTTGCAAAAACATGAGGGCCAGTGCATCAAAAATCTTCCAAGAGCAGCTTGGCACAAATTTACAGATCTTCTTTGACACATGCATAAATGAATCAGAGGTTTTTTACATTAGTGTCATATTTGAAATAAATCTTTTTTCATTTCTAATTCTTTTAAGATTAAGAAGTACACAAAATTGAATACCTGCAATTCCCCCAAATTGGATCGTCTGGTTACCCTCAACCGGGCAACACTCACTATGATGATTGTAATAAACCACGAACAAAGTTTTGATCATGGTTCAGAGTTCAGAAATGTGATGTCCCAATTGAGCATTGCTGAGAAAGAGGCGCATTGCTGGAGGAGCCTTCTCTATTTGAGGTATAACAGAAATGTCTTGTATTTCATATTTTTTGTTAAACAAAGTGTCCCTTTTTTCATCAGGACTTCCAAATTTGCCCCAAGCGATAACCAAGATGGACAGTTTATTGAAGATGCCTTTGGAGTGTTGTTGTGAGTTTTTTTGGTTTTTATCTTGAAATTAAAAATAATTCATGGGGGGTCATACTTTAAAAATTTAGCAATGTGTGGAAGTTTCTTCGTAGAGCCAGAGAATTGGTCAAGAATCTGAAGACTACCAAGAGTAAGTTGGAAGATAGTAACTATGGAAAAGCAGTGAGAGCCTTCATGGCAGGAAAATTGGATGAAGCCGAGATTCACTTGCAATTTCGCTCTGCACCACTGCCTAAAAAAGAGGAGTCTCCTAAACACTTTGCTTCAATTGAAGAGGAAGAAGAGGCCAAAAAGGAATTTGAAAATGGTGCATTTTTTTATATTTTATCAAGTGTAAATTATTACCAATTCTTTAAATATTTCAGCAATGAAAAATGTTTTTGAGGACCTCTTTGCTGTTGATCACGAGACAGCAAGAATGATGAGTGAAAACATTTTCCAGGAAGGCCTAAAAAAAACATGCACCTGCTCGTGTTGCCCAGCAAATATTGAGAATGAAGACGAAGATAATTCGTCGGAGAGCACCAGTGCTTGTGCTGATGAGAAGACATCAAAGTGCAAGAAATTCTTGAAGCCCACCAAAGAAGGTAATTTGTTAAAGGGAGATGTGTAATAAAATCTAATATTTTATAATTTTCCCTTATAGTTTTGAAGGTTTTGGAGCAGCAAACAAAAGATAAGGAGCGCCGCACTTGTCATGTATGCAAAAAGAAGGAATCCAACAAATTGAATTACATTACCTGCAGTGAATGTGCCAAAACTGATTTCCCTGATGTCAACTACTATTGCTCCAAAGCTTGCGAGAGTAAGTAGAATGGGAATAATCTTCATATTTATATTTCACTAGATTGGAAGATAGTAATTATGGAAAAGCAGTGAGAGCCTTCATGGCAGGAAAATTGGATGAAGCCGAGATTCACTTGCAATTTCGCTTAATTTAAATATTTCTGCCTCCATAAAAATATATTATCTTTTTTCTTTTTGCAATAACTTGTACTAAAGCCTAATTTGTCTTAGTCTATTTTTATTTTAAGCCACCATGCAATTTCAATGGTAGGCTAAATAAGCGTCGGATTCATGCTTACGGTTTTTTGACTACCCTCAAGCTTGTTTTATTTACTTTTAGAGAAAGCTTGGGAAACATACCATGAGGAGGACCATCTTCTCCATGAGCTGGAGAAGTCGTATTATGGCACAGAAGGTCGGGATAGAAGCAAATAGAAAGAGCAGTAAATTTTTCACTTTTTTTTTATACCTAGAGTTTTAGGCCCTAAATTTTCGGGCCCAGAATAGATTCATCGATAATTGGTCAGAAGACCTGTTGATAAATATGACTAATATTTTGTACTGGATTCAATAAAATTGAAGAAATACATTTACACAACGTGGTACTTTGTTCAAAATAATAGAATAATACACACAGCAACAATTTTGAAATATTGGTATTCTAATTAAAAATCTAGAATAAGGAAAAGGATACTGTTTTTTTTTTGTGTGAAAAAAAAATAATTGTTTTGCGTATAAGTGCAGAAATTACTACCTGTCATAAATTACGCACTAAACTAAAAGCAGTTGATATTCGATATCCACATGTAATACAAGTTTGTGCGTGATGGATTGTTAGATAATAATGATTCCTGAGGTACAAAAAAACTAAATGCATTACTGAGATGGTGGACCAGTTCTCCCAAATGGGCTGAATAATGCAAAAAGAGAAGTAGACTTCCTGATCACTTTCCAGTAACTAGTTGGTTATTTTTGGCCACTGTATAAATTCGCAAAAGTACCCGACAGTATAAAAAGAGAGCAAGTTGGCAGAGGTTCAATCACTTTCTTTCGAGCCGCACACGAGCCGGATCATGAGGACCTTTGTAAGTAAAACCAATTAGGCCCATTTCGCATTATTTGGTTTGAAGCAAATAATCAAATTATTTATTAAAAAACCAAATTGTTATTGAACAGGTGTGCGTTTTGTTAGCGGCCGTTGTGGTCAGTGCCTCGCAGGAGGCCGCAGCCCCTGCTGCAGCTGAGAAGGGAAAGCAAGGCGCCGCCGACCTGGGCACTGCAAGTTTGGGACTTGAAGGCCTCTCGCTCGGCTCTGGAATTGGCCTCGGAGGCTACTCGGGCTTGGGACTCGGCGGTCTGGGCGGCTACTCCGGTCTAGGACTTGGGGGTCTTGGAGGCCACTCTGGACTGGGCATCGACAACATTGGCGGTCTTGGTTATGGAGGCCTTGGTTTGGGCTCTGGTCTTGGTCTGCACAGCTCACTGCCCGTCACAATCACTCGCACCGTGGCCGTACCCCATCCGGTTCCTGTTCCAGTTGTGAAGACAGTGGCTGTTCCTGTTGTAAAGACTGTGGCCGTTCCGGTCCCCATTGTTCGCCATGTACCTGTTCCCATTGTGAAGCACGTTCCCGTTCCTGTTGCCACCCCGATTAAGGGTGGATACTACGGCTATGGACAGGGAGGTGCCCACTCTCTCGGACTGGGAGCCTCATCTTTGGGTCTTGGAGGGTATAGCAGTGGATACGGCACGGGTAACTTGGGTTTGGGATATGGCAAGCTGTGATTTAATTTTGCAATATTATGTAAATAAGATAAACGTTACTATATTTTTTTAGTAATTCACTATTTCATTTTATGTTTCTCATGGAAAAATTATTGGACCTGTTAACTGTAAAGAGATTACGATATTTTGCTATTTTCTGCTGAAGTTTAATATAAAAGAGAACACAATGCATATGCACATGGATCTTTTTTACAAATTCTGTGTAAAACTGAAAAAATAAAAAAAATTATAAAAAAATATCTGCGAATTTTCATTGACAAACCAAATAATAAAATTACTTGAACTATTTATGAAAGAAGCACATTTGATATAAATAGCCCTAAATTTGCGCCTAACCATCAAGCTTAATTTAAAAATAAACTCATATAAAATATAGCTTGTCATATTAGCGCAGAGCCTCACGCTACTTGTTAGATTTTTATAGTTCTGGATTAAAATTTTAGAACATAACCGGCTATTTAATACCGACTTAAGGAACCAGTTTTGGCATAATAAAAAAAGTGGAACCTCTTTTAATTGAGATCCAGCAAATGTAGCCGCGCCTAAATTTAGAGCGGCCCGCTCTGCGAACGTGTTGCGCAGGTTGCATAGTTTTCAGATATTATGCTGGCAACTCATTTGCTCTTTGCTCTCACAAACAGTAGCATACACAACTCTCATTGATGCTGGTGAATCGATCACATGGAATTTTTTTTACATTTTCAAATTACTTAATAATTAATAAAATGTATGTTTTTAATTTTCTGACAGCAAATAAATTGCTTGTCAGAATAAAATTAGGTCATTTAATTATTTTTCGTGGAATTGTTCAACGGATTTATTAATTCCAATTTTACTTTGACAATGCTGAAAAAGAAGCAGAGTAGAAAATATCAGAAAATGTCACCTTGATGCATTAAAAAGATCAAAATTGTTGCAACTATTTTACTTTCACCAAAAATTTTCTTTTCCGCAATAAATTGTTAATGTCAGGAAGTTTGGGTTTTGCCGCTTGTCAAAATGACACTCATACTTTTAGTTTTTCACACACCTTAGGAGCGAATTATCCGTTTTTAAACATTAGTCTTCTTGTCTTCTGCTGTGCGACGTAAAATTGCCGGCCCTCTCGTAAAACAACTTTTTGACATTATAATGCGGGCACTCCGGTTATATGCGCTCATTAAACGGGGATTGCCTAACTCTCTACACTGAGCAAAATGCAAGTGGAGCAGCGACGGTAAAAAGTGGACCCGTCCGGCTACGATTATGTCACCGCAGACACACTTTTAAGGAAGTTGTTCCTGCGGTAAAAAGGACCTTCTTGTATAAAAAAAATCAGCCGCATTCGCCAACGCTAAATATTCCAAGAGACTGCTTTTATTTTGATATTGCGTGTTGCCACCCGTTATGCAGGTTCTTTTGAACTTGTCCAATTAAAAGTAATCGCTTTGCACGTTGTGCATAGCAACTGAGAGCTAAAAACCATTGAGTGGGTCAGCAAAATAAGGACAAGGAATTGTAATTGCAATCCAAATTTTATCAAAAAAAAAAAAAAAAAAAAAAAAATAATAATAATAATAATAATAATGAAAAAAATAAATAAAAATTTTGATTTGTTTTTCTGTATTAAACTCATTGTTAGGGACAAACGTGTTTAATTAAATGCAAAGCTAACTTTTTATCATCGTCAGTCATTACTAAAGGTATTTTTTGAAGTAAATTACAATAATAATAATAATAAGATTTGAAATTTTGAAAATATTGAACTAAATTTTAAGACTCTTAAAATACTACATAAATTTCACTATAACCTTTTTTTTAACTACGCTATTATACTGAACAAAGAAAGATTTCATGTGAGCAAAAGCGATAAAAAAATAATTGTTGTTTATTTTTCTGTTGAAATTAATTTTACTTTGACACTTTCATGGATGCATAATTTTACGAGGCTTTGTTATGAAACGATATGTTCCAAATAGTCAAAAATGTCAAAATAATGTAGAAACTCTTCTGCAATGCGTCACCTCGACTAGTCTGGCAGTAATAATTGATGGTAGAGTTTAATAATTGAACTTTACGATCTGACGCCTTCTCAAGTGCAAACAGAACCAGATGTTTCGCACTCACCGTGTTGCGATTTTCGGCAAGGGCGAAATAAATTGCACGAAAATGCGAACGGCAATTCCGCAGCTCGTGACTGGGCGCACACATTCGCGTAGCAAAGCCTCTAATGAGATGTTCCGCCAGGATGGAGCTGCGGTTTCCCAAGTGCGAGAGCTTCTCTCATTATATAGAAAGGGAATCCAGGTTAATTTAGTCCGCCGCCGACAGACATGACACTGCAAATCGCCCTGACTGCCTCTACATGCACTTGCTGTAAACAGCTTGCATAATTTTTGATTTTCTATTATTATTTAATGCCAAGCATTTTACTGACTGTCAGTTGGAATGATTGGTACATACCCTCAGATTAAAACAATGAAGGTTTAATAAAAATGAAAAAAAAAATTAATCCTAAAATGTCGATTTCCTTATAAAATTTTATTAATGTTTAATTTGGTATATTTACAAAATTAAACAAAAAAATATATTTTTTTTTCCTCAAAATTTTATCCGAATGGAATGAACGCATTATAAAATTTTGTCATTCCCATCTTAACCTCTTTTTATATAACTGCGCGTTACTTTTTAAAAGTAATAAAGAAAGTATAAAACTTCTGACTTTGCAATAAAATATCAAATATGTTGGCCCTTTGTCAATGTATTTAAACTTCGAATTTATTTCTGATCTTTCTGATCACGCTTGTTTACAACTCTAGCTAATATACAATTCATGAATTCGCTTATGAACTTTGAAAAATAAGCAAACAGTTTTTCATGGCATTATCCAGAAATCAGCAAACGATTGTGCTCGCAAGATGTGTCTAAAGCTTATTCTACTGAATTTTTTTTATATGTATAATCGGATCCTTCAAAGGAGTCAAGTTTTGCATGCTTATCTAAAAGAATCTGGATTAATGACCAGCTTGCAATATATAGAGCATATTAAGTATTTGCTCGTTGTGGAGAAGCAAGTTAGCGTGAGAATAGCTCGAGTGCTGCCGTGCAAGCGCGAAGGAAGATAGAAAGATTTTATCTCGCGGCCAAGGAGTGTAAAAGTGGCAATAAAATAATTTCTTTTGTGACCACCGTAAACGATCTGCTGAACCGTGGCATACCGTTTTACTCCCATTCAAATCCAAACTGCAAAACCCACAAATGTTGACGGAAAAAGTGGTACACAGAACTTTCAATCTTTAATTTACTTTTTTCCATTTACAAATTATTTCCGAGCATAATGGACAAATTCCATCAGAAAGAAATCAACGCAGTTGAGTATTTAGTTCACTTCTGCGGTGCCTTTGATTGATACGATTTGATTATGGGTTTGGTTTCCTGTCTGCCAATGCCCGAGATAAATGGAGATAATATGCTTTCCTTTCCTCGCGATATAAAATTATTGCCGCTGCTTTTCGTTACTCATAGTCGTGCATCTCGCTTGCAACTGCAACCGACGAAGATAAAATTTTAAGACGTTCGAGATGCTCGGCGGTTCGTCAAGCAGAGCAGGCAACAATTTTCAAACCAAGAGAGAGTCCTGAATGACCAGCATTTACAAAATGTCAATAATTACTTTGTGTATTTACGCAGAGGCAAACAGACTCTCGCGTTAGGAGCTGTTAAATTGAAAAACGACTGCTAAAGTTTTAAGTGCCATTTTTAGAGAAAACGACAAGAGTAAAAATTAATTTCAACTTATTTCTCATTCATGCAACAGATGCAACATATTAAATAAAGGACTTTGTGACCCATGTGCACAATAAAGCTAGGGCAAGGTAACGTTGTAAATTTAACATAAGGTGCTAATAGTAAGGTAAAATTAAAGAGGAAGATTTTATATAATTTCGTTTTCTCTACTATAGGAGCAAAAGTTGTGCTATTTTCTAAATTGACCTGAAATATTAAGTCACTAATATTAATCTTTTAAAACTGTGCTCTTATAACTTTCAAATTGAAGGTGCGATTTAAACCACATTTAAATCATCAGTCTAAGAAAGGAATCAAGGCAAGATATAATACCGCCATCCAAAATTTCCTACACTTAAATATTTACATCACCAAAAAAGATTTTAATCATATATAACATGTATATAACGCATTTTTTAATGAAAAATAATTTTTCACTTTTAAAATCTCTCCCTGTTGAAAATTTTTTTTAAAAATATGTCTGCATTTGTATATTATGCAATTTGATATTTTGTTTTGTTATGAGCTGCATTTTAAAGAGTTTCTAAAAGTGTCAATTGGAGCCATTTTTATTTTATATTCAAATTGAACCTCATCACATTGCGTAATAAAACATGCACAACACTTTTCGCAGAGGGCGAGACAATGCATTCAAATTAGCAGCGCGGAAACAATTCAAGTCACTTCCTTGATGCGGTGCAGTGTTTATAGGTGCATGGAAAGTTTTGAACCGCACCAGTGTGTGTGTAGTGAGTCTGATAATGAATTAATTACGAGCGAACGAGAAGAATGCACGAGCGAGCGTTTTTTTTGTGCCATTCACCGAAGGGATCCAATTATTCACTTGCCATTGTCGGACCGAGAATCGCGATTGCGTGCGACTGATATCGAAAAGCAGAAGTGTGTCCGTCGATTTCTCATTTCGTTCTCGCGAGAAAGAAAGATGACATATATCGTGTGTGTATTATTTGTCCACGGAACAAAAACTGGATTTTGATTAGCAGCGGGCAGTGGTGCGTGATGCCGACTAGAAAATTTTACAGCCACTCCAATTAGTAACCCAGCAGTCTTCCTGAAATTTAATCGCTTTACTACACACCTGCGCTCAAAGCGACACTTTGGCAGTGTTTTGCATTTTTCTTCTCAAAAAGTGAAGTGAAATTTTTTGCTCACATCCAACCCCGAAGCTGCAGATTCTGGGAAATGATTGGTGAAGGGTCACGATTCCCTTATTGAATGCAATTGCAATACACATTATGACTTCATTTTATTTATTGCTCTATGCACATGCGATTAATTGATGAAATTAGCAGCAATTTCACAATGAGCTGGAACTCGCAATTCATCCGCCGTGCTGTTGCAAAATTATTTCTAACGGCTGTCAAATGCCGTCAACGCAAGTCATTCATCCTTTCTGGCTCAACACGAACAGAGGCGTGTGCTTGCAAATCAAAACGCATTTTATTATAAAAATAGATCGTTGCAGGAGTGGACATAGAAATTTAATTGACATCAATTACACTTCTTGTAAGACTCTCGCCTGCAGAGCAACAACCGCGAGAGATGTGTATGTGCTCAAGCTCATGTCGTTTTTTAATGTAATAAAATGCTTATACAGGCGCTGAAACGTGCAATTTCAGAGAATGGATTGTGCATTTTATTCTCTTTTTGGCCCACATTCTATCAGGAAAGAAGAAAGTTCATTAGACTTAATTAATACTAACCCTTGTAATATAAAAAAGGGAAAAAATATATTTCAGATTCAACTATTCCTTATACATGCAAAAAGTATGAAAAAATGTTGTAAAATACTTAATTAAATTAAGGAATGGATTTTCCGCTTATTATTTGATAGTAAATTTTTACAAATAAAGCACAGATACTACATTATTGAGTTATTAAGGCGAAAAAACAAACAGAATTCAAAAATAAAAATAAAGGAAACGTTTTTATTGCTATGAATTTTATGTTTTTACAGATTAAACATTTGAACTTTCCATAAAGAATGATGAGCCCACTTGAGCGTTAGTAAATAAATATATTGTAATTTGTGCGTGTTTTTGCGTGTCGCGTGTCCTTTATTGGTTCACCACCTGAAGCAACCATTCAATCAAAATAATTCGCTCTTGTGCGGAGACCACGCGAACTGAACGCGTAAAATTAAGTGGTGCCGGTGGCCGCACCGGACGAAAAGCAAGGCCCCTACCTCCATGCATGCGGAGAAACTGATTTCACTTTTGCTACCTCTCGACGCGCTCCGTACTGCTATTGCAGGTGAGAGAGAGATGAAAGGCATAATACACACGGCGTACGTACTCCTGAATTTGCAGGCGCCTGATGAGTTCTTTATTCCTGAGGGGGGAGGCCTGCTCGGAGGTATATATGCGTTGACCGGCCTCCAGGCCGCAGATCACTCTCAGCACTCACAGCAGAATGTACAAGTTTCTGGTAGGTCTTCAAACTATACATCAGTTCAAAAGCAAATTTTATTTTAAATTTTAATTGAAATTTCCTTCCTTCCTCAGGTGGTCCTTGCCCTTGTGGGCGCAGTTGTCGCCGACGACGCTGACAAGAAGAGCGAGAAGCGCGGTGTCTTCGGCACTGACCTCGGCTACGGCGGTGGTGGACACTTCGAGGCTTCCAAGCACGTCGAAACTAACCACCACGTTCCCGTTCACACTGTGACCAAGCACGTGCCCTACTCCGTCCCTCACCCCGTGCCCTACACCGTGTACAAGAAGGTGCCCTACGCAGTTCCCGCCCCTTACCACGTTTCCGTTCCTCGCCCTTATGAAGTGAAAGTGCCAGTCAAGGTATAATAATTTTTGACATTATTCAACAAAAGAAGGCTAACATAATTTTTTTATAATAGGTTCCCTACACCGTCGAGAAGCCCTACCCCGTCACTGTTGAGAAGCCCTACCCCGTCCACATCCCCGTGAAAGTTCCCGTCTCCGTCCCCAAGCCCTATGCCGTTCCCGTCGAGAAGCCTTACCCCGTCCACGTCCCTGTCAAGGTTGCCCACCACGTGCCCGTGCCCGTCCACGTCCCCAAGCCCTACTACGTCAAGGTGCACGACCATCATGATGAGCACAGTGGCGGCGCCTCTTACGGTGGTGCTTCTTATGGCGGCGGTGCCTCTCTGGACGCCGGAAACTACGGTGGCTACGAATCTGCTGGAATTGGAGGCCAAGGCTATGGTGGTGCTTCTGGACTCGGCAGCCACGGTGCTTCCTCTGGACTCGGTAGCTACGGCGGTTCCGCTGGACTCGGCAGCTACGGCGGCTCTGCTGGACTCGGCAGCCACCACGGTGGTGCCACCAGCTACAGCTACTCTCATCACGGCTAAGAAAAAGATAGCCTGAGAGATCATCAAAGATTGTTCCTCCTCGCCAGATCGCATCTTGTCACTCAACATTGTCATTGCGACTACCACACAAGATTTTGTACTGCTGTTTTATAAAAAGAATAAAAAAATCATTTTTATTAAATAACTAAATTTTAATAATTAGTTTTCTTTTATTTCCTGAAATATTTATTCAAAATATAATTACTATCATCAATTAAAAAAATTTTAATGAAGTTTTGAAAATTGAAAGCATTCATGCGTGTTTACACTCATGTCAATTATCCATAGCAAAATAATATAGAAGAGCAGAAAAAGACATCTGATTTTAATAGCTTTGAAAGTTGTTTGTCCTACTTAAATATTGCAAAGTAGTTTTTAGTTCAACATTTAGCGCAAAAAAAATTTGTATTTAACCACTTGCAATAAGAACAAGTTTCATCTTCGGACGACCAAAAATTTAAATTAATAATTTATTTATTTTTTATTCATAGAACAGGATCTTAAATTTAATGTACAAAAAAGAAATTTAAAATTATAAATTATTATTGCACATAATGAGGTCGAGGTCGACTGAGGTGATAAAATGTTTGTTTTAGATTCAAAGCATCTTCTAGAAGCTAAAATTCATTACGCTATATGGAAAATTTCTGCTTGGTTATGCCGATTTTTAAGTTAGCGTAGCATGTCACTCTAATTAAGTCAGTTAGTATTATTGGTGATTTAAGTAATTGAAACCAATATAATGACTGATGCAAACTGTATGTTTAATTAAAGTGTAGGAAGATAATTTGGCATATAGGACTGAAAATAAAACATTTTTTCATATATCCAAGTGCTGTTTAAGAACAAGCAGGAAAATGCCCCTGATTTTAATTACTCCATTTCACTACACATTTGCGAGTTGCTTTAGTTCATGTTTATGAATTTCTCACTTCATCCATCGTTAATAAACTTATGCTGCTCGCTGAAATTTCAAAGAGGAAAACCTCTAGAGCTATTCATTTGAATCAAGAGGATGCATGCACAAGCACTCGTGGATTTGCGTGCTTTGACTTTGAATGTGCTTACTAAATTACTGGCGGTAATTCGCGCGAAATGAGATCAGTTCAGCCGTCTCTCCAATGTGAGAGATATAATGCAGATAATGCGACCTCACATATAAAGCGACCAAATGTGAATTTGCAGAAATATTTTAGGCGCAAACACATCGACCCCTATTTTCTCAGAGAATTAATTTATATACATACATTTCTCAAATTTCGCAAAACCGATCATAAATCCCTTTTGACAAAACAGCGTAGAAGAGCATAGAATTTTTTTGAATTTCTCAAAAGATGGAAAGCTCTCAAACAAGGCGCGATCAATGGACCAGAAAGATTGGTCAATTTCTTCATATATTCGCATTACTAAAAAAAGTAAAAAATACGCACAAAAGAATGTGTGGTGTCATTTGTGTCTGACTTGGCTAAATTTATTCATTTACGCTCGAGTAAATTCATTGTTGGCAAACAAGGGATTTCCCACTGTGCGAGGAGAAGCAGAAACAATTAAACAATTAAAACAGAGAGGTAAACGCACCAAGAATTCAGTTCAATCGTTTATATGCCCTTTTGTTAAAATGAGTTAATACCTTGCTGCCGTTGCCCTCTTTCAATTAAGTAAAACTAATTTTGCCTTCAAGATTTTTAGCAGTTGAATTGTAGTTTGGGGGGGGGGGGTAAAATTTTAACTAATTTAAACTGAAATCATCAATGGCTAGTATACATGATCAATCTTTTTTCCTCTAGATTTGCTCGGCTTAGTAGACTAACTAAACACGTGTAATTTATATAGTCGATATAGTCCATAAAACAGATCAGTTTTCTTGCCGTCATGACATTCCCATCAAGTGCCACAAGAATGATTGGAGAAAGAAAGTGATCAAAGCACTGATCTGCTGCCGCAGCAGTTTATCATGAAATGCAATCGGTCGCTGATGGATTGCATTCAAACGTTATTATTTCGCTAAAACGGCATTTGAATGCGAGCATAATTTCACCTCACGTCCAAAGACATTCATCTATTGCAGAGCATGCCATTATTTTTTTTTATTCCGCAACAAAATCATTGTGAGGAAATATGAATGTGAAATTTACTGCAGATGAGTGCGTAAAGTGCATAAAAGCTGCAACCCCGCGCGGCAATCAATTAATCTACTCGCTCGCGTTGTCTCGGCTGCTCGCGTTTCGAATAATTGCGGCTGCATTGGAGAGTGGCGGCTATTTCCGTCCGACACTAATTGCGCTGATCTTCTCGTAAATATGATCAGAGACCGAGGCGGCGGCGGAAAATTAAATAAATCAATTCAGAGAGAAGCGCGGGCAGTATTGCGCACTTTCTCCACCAGACACTTCTGCGTACTCGCAATTGTTCCAATTTTCACTTCACTGCTGAATAAAAGTGCAGTATAATTTTTATTGCAATTGTGTTTTTGGCGGAACAACATGCCTTTAGGAACGGCCTGCGGCTTCCCTTTCACGTTCCTTCTATGAGAAAATATCCAACCCCAGACCCAAGCAGATTGAGACAAACACCTTTAGTTTTGGCGTGCGAATTTTGCGCAATCGTCAAACAACTGCTGTGGTTTGTGTGTTTGACGGAAGCATACAGAGTGGCCGGAACTACCTGTTTAAATTTAAATTACATCATCAGGTTTTAAGTGGTGTTAAAGTACATTATGCTAATGATATATCGCAATCACTGACATAATGTAAATAAAAAATTACTAACTGCTAGATTAAAATATTCAATCCACTCTGTGTGATTCACGCGCTATTCGCTTTTTAATATTTTATTAAGTTTTGCGTTCAGAGATTGTCTTGTGGTAAATAAACCAATAAATTCCATTTGCAAGTAAAAATCTACTAAACACAAGCAGTAAAAATTGTTTATAGATGAATAAATAATACTATTTAAAAATTTAAACTATTTATTCAAATAAAATATAATTTTTTTAAACATATTTGTTATAAATTACTCTATGCGATTTAAAAATTAAATTTTCTTTAGTAATTAATTTTTTCGACCTCCTTGCCTAGTGTAATTTTTTCCCTTCTTACTTCATATGTGGGGCGTTTTTTAGGAAGTAAAATATGTTTAAAATTTCACTTTACTCCACAACTTTTACATTATTTCTCCGAATTGATTTAGTATTAAACTGGAATTACAGCATCTCTGCCCAGAGTAATTGTGTCTGTCTTTCTGAAAGGCGTGCAGTTGCCGGCAGAAAACATAATAGAAGCTGTGATTTGCGCCGGTAATTACACTCAGCGATCATATATCTGAATGTCTTGTTGAAAAAAAATGCACCTGCTGCTGCTGGACGTGCATTTAGAGCGCACTTTACTCCGAAGCGCTCTCATTATTATTATGCTGTGCATTTTTGCTCCAATTGAGCCAGTTAGTTCCTCATCCACTTCCTCCATCGCACTTTCAAAGCTTACATGTGACTTTTTCACTCCTTTGTGCGCAGCCGGCACTTGCGAGATTTATTGTTAAACCACCGCAGTGCAATTGCACTGGTTCATTAAAATGCACTTCGTGTGCAGCGAAAAGCCGTAAAATTATCGCCGCTAGCGCACGAGATCTGATACACAATGTCTTTCTTGCATAGAAAGGAAGCGTTTTTCGGCTCATTCTATTTTTCACTGACTCGGGTTTAATATATTAATTTTATTTTTATACTTATAAACAACCTGCTTGGCCGCAATTTATACTTTCTTCCGCTCCGAAAACCGGCTGCAAATCTTGTGAATGTAGTTTTGACGCTAAATCCAACATATTCTTTTTTAAGAATGGAGTGACTGAGTTGAAAACTCAATCCATCTCGTTGCAATCACTTTTATTGGCAGCTAAATTGATCGACAAACATCTTGGCCGTAAAAAGCTCACATGAATTATTCGCCGGTCACGACTAGAATTACTTAACAAGAAGCCGTGGGTGGCTTAAAATTATTATCAGAAATGACACGAATTTTCTTTTAAAAGGTTCAAATCTTATTTTTTTTTCTTTCTACAAGTTGTACAATTTATTATTTCAATATTAGTCTCGAGTGTCTTGACCGCAAATATCAATTTGCTTTTCAATTTGAGGAAGACGATAAATTTAACGCGTGTGTGTTTGTGTGCATGAGTTTGGCAAGATGAGGAATGAGTTTTCTTCCTTGTGCGCGGCGAGGAACTGAGGCAACAAATTGAGATGTTGTACCTCTTGTGAACATCCACCGCGATTATTATGACGGTTGTGCAAGTTTGCACGCACGCTAATCGCTGCATGCACCGGAAGTTTTTGAAGATCAGATTTCAGACGCAGTGCAGCAGAAACTTCTTAATTATACCTCAGTTCTTTTTCAGGTGTTACATTAAATTTTAAAGATCCACTGGTTACAATACATGTCAATGGAGTATGCGTGCTACGCACGTTTAATAATTACGCGTTTAATTAATTATTTTTTTTGTATTTACATAAAATATTTCAACGATAGCATTTGTATTTAATTTTCTTAGTACCTTAACAACTAACTATTTTCAAAATAGATTTTTCAATTCTCTCTTTATGTATTTTGTTGTTAACAAACGCATAAAAAAATAAAATTCAAAGATATATGTTATAAAAATTTTAACGTTTGACATGCATACCAGGTATTAATTAAAAATGTTTAAAAATGATGAATGAAGAGCAGAAAGAGAAGCACTACTTGTTTTTAAAGTTGATTGACTATCGTAACCACTGCATATTTTTTTGACTTAATTTTAATTGTTCATTTTATATTGATGTATTCATGTTCAAATATTAAATTTGTTATCTTCTATGCATTATACTATTAATGGAGAATAAATAAATAAATTAATTTATGAACATTTATTTTCTTTATTATTATTTAAATATGAGCCAGCAAAAATAAAATTAACATTGTTGCTGATTTATTCTGTGACAAATGTAAATTTATTCGCCACTTGAACAAATCTTTAATCTCTCTATTTGAAACTTTTTAGTATGAGGAAATAAAAAATAACATTGCAATTTCTATCATACAAAGAATCGAAATTGGATGTCCTGATTAGCTAAATTATATGCAATCATGGAGCAAGAAATCAAGTTTCTCAGCACAAAATTTGCG